GCATGTCAAGCATGGGGAACTCAGAAAGGGATGTGGTGGCAAAGGGATACGGCTTCCTCACCTGCTCCCCTTGCCAAGTCCCACTCCAGGGAAGGCCCTCCGTGCTATTCAGTGAAAAGAAACCATTCACTTAATTGCCAGTTATAGTGCCAATCCTGTCTCATCTGGTTTAAATCCCAGGCTGTGGCTTCCATGTGGTCTCTGTCCACTATTTCCCTCCAGTGCTCCCCTTCTCCTGTGGGACCGCTCCATCTCTGCACCATTTCCAAGCACCACCTTTCTATAAGTCTTCCCAGGTCCAGATGTCTGCCCTTTTCCTTGAAAGAAACCCAATGGCATTTCTTGCTGGCTATCTCTAATTTGTTCCTCCATACCAAATCCACTTTGCCGCTAAATTCATATTTAGTATTTTTTAAAAATCTTTGCTCTGCCTTTAGCAAGGAAGCACCCAATCCTGTGTGAAAGGAGATTAAGGTTTGAGCTTCTAGGACTCTCAAAATAAAGACCCATTATGCAAAGGTTCTGACACATTACATTTTAGTTACGTTTTTCAGCTGATGAACATGTGAGTGATCTTAGTTACAGAGGAAGGAAAGACAATAATAAAAGCAGCCATGAGCTAAACTAGCAATATAAAACACCCCCTCCCAATATTTCCAATCCTTCACAGAAGGTATATTCACAGTGTTCATGTAGTTGGACAGATATATAAAATGGTTCCAACTCCTCTGTAGAAATAAAAATACATGCTCACTTTTGCCAACTATAATCCAGATAACACTCCCATTTATGTGACCAGGCAATTAAAAAGCTAAATTTGTTTTTCTCCCATTATCTCGGTGTCAAGGATGGAGACAAATAAATTACAATTATTCTCAGTGTCTACATCTATTTTAGGAAAATGCAATGCTGAGAAAACAAAGGGCCAAGTGACAACTGCAAGAAAACAAAACATTTGTTTCTTTGTAAAAGGTCAGAAGGAAGAGAAGCTCAGAATTCCATTAGTCTGTGACTTTCCTTCTGTTTTTGTACTGGTTGCAGGATTATCTTAATCAATACTGGGTTTTTTTTGTCCTTCCACCTCATGGATTCCTGATTCAGCAGGCTTCCAAGCGTGATCAGTTACAGCAGTGGTGGACAATCAAGCTTCCGAGAATGTCTCCAAAGCCATGCCACTAACAACAGAAGGACCATGGCATCAACTCCCTTGTTTGTTAATTATACTGTTTCCGCTCTACCTTTTGATCTACATATATGTCCCCACCCCCAGTCTAGAAAACAATCAACAGTGAAAACAAGATCAATAAAACAACAATCAATAGAGTAATACTGAAAGATACAGAAAGGAAACAGACAAATAAACAAAACAGAATAACAGTAGTCAGTCAAAACAAACTCAATGGTCAACTTAAATTAGTAGTCATGCTGAAAGTGCACTGAAATAGCCTTGTTTTCACCAGTCCTTTGAATGCCAAAGGGGTGGGGGTCAGGATGAGCCTGTCAGGATGGAATTTTGTAACCTGGTGCCACAGCCAAGAAGATCATGTTCTCTGTGTTAATTCACTGATCTCCAATTCGCACTGGGACATGATGAATGAGAGCGGACCTCTGTTGTGCAAGTAGGTTCAGATGGAAGAAGATGGTCTATTCACTATACTGGCCTAAAACTATTTCAGGTGCCCAAAGAGCATTATAGAATATGCAGAGATGTGTTTACAGCATAGTAGGGCTGAGACAGTGACCGGAATGGCCAGTCTGTGCCACGCTGCCAACCGAGAGTCACTATTATAGATTCCCTCGGTAGTCCTGCTTTTGCTAGCATGAGATATGCCAGACAAAGTCTTTCCTACTCTTTTCTTTGCTGCTTACACCAGTCATTCTAATGCATGGGCAGTGAGTCTCGCAGGTTCAAGCCAAGAGTAATGGCTATGGTGGGTTGTGGACATCTTCAATCAGAAATTGCACCAGACAATTGACCTTGTAATAGCTGCTTTTTGGGATGACTTTCTGATGGCATATTCATATGGGATTCAGCACATCCAGGCCATGTAAATTAAAGATGGGGAAAAGGTAGGTATCTTGGAGATTTGCAAAAGGCATTTATTCCCCTCTAAATTAGGTTGCTTGGGCAAAGAATGTGGTCCTCCGAGCTCCGTCTCGTATTCAAAAAACAGTTCCTGGGCTCCAGGGCCCTTTTTAATTCTAAGTGCATTCCTGTCCTGCCATGGTTTTGCATATGGCTCAAGTAAAGTAGACCCTGGAAGTTGGACATCTGCCTACACATGGTATAAATCACATCAGCTTATGAAACTGTCTTGCAGCATTGGTTTAACTAACCTAGAGCTGCTAATTCTGACTGCCAGCATCCCTTCTTTTCTTGCTGTAGATACTGGGGATTAAACCTGGAACTTATTTATTTGGTTTTTAGGCTGCCCCATTAGCCACCAAGCCCCCTAGGCAGGTTACAGTCATAAAACCATGTAAAAACAATATTGGAAGGAGTACGTTCAACAAACTGAGCAATGGCCTATTGCCCAAGCACAAGATACCTCTGCAACGTTAGCACAGATCCTTCAGAAACTGGCATGGTAGATTAGAGGAACCATGGGTACGGCAGCCACTTAAGAATCACTACCCCCCCCCAAAAAAAAACCCTCAAAAACAAGGGGGAAAAGACAAAAGAAGGCAGGCTTTTTGGGTTACCACCAATCCTTTCAAAGAGCTTTAGTAGATATGCATAAAATTTGCACATGTGCACATGCTAATTTATGGTATAAATGCAACTGTAGCAAAAGTGATTATAATTTAAACAAAAATACAGTGCATCTCACCATAATGTGGAAGATGGTAAGTGACCTGGGAGCCTGGTTCAGTTACCTGCTGCCCAGGTGTCTTTGGGAGGCAGCTTCAGGGCCCAGCAATTCTTACTGACAGTTCTTTTAAGGAGACTTGGACAGGATAGCCCTCCAGACAAGGAATCCCTTCACAGGCAATCCTCCAGCAACCCTTCAAATAGGGGACTGTCCACTGTAAAAGAGGACACCTGACAAGCTGGGAATCATAGGTCATTTTGTCTGTCAAAACATACTTAAGATTGTACCTTTAAAGAGTCCAATCTGGAAAGGCCAGCTAAATTAGAGTGATCTACCAAATGACTAGTCAACAAACTGGGTAAACTCACTGTGGGTAACCAACCCAAAGAAGAGCATTAGGTTAGGCACAGGAGCAGCTAAACAGGAAACCAAACCAAACAGATTCCCCAGCCAGAACTTTTTAAAGGAGAACACTAGGACAACGTGAAACAGCACATTTCCATATCGAAGAAATCAAACATCACCAAGCAATTTCTAAATTAAATTTAAGAAAATAAAATTTACACTGTGGCAGGTTTGGTAGTTGGGAACCATTACACACAATTTGGAAACATCCATTTGTGCCAAGAGGAAGCCCAGTTATACAGCTAGAGCAGACAGCCAGATAATGAAGGAATGAAAAATTGTATGGAACAGGTTTGCTGTACAGGCTTAACCGCTTTAAATTGGACACGATGTCTGCTGCCGAGCTTGCCATTTGTTTAGGCTAGGCAAATGTTTTCTGGGATGGCAGTCTGCAGCTCTTACGAAAGACTCCAAAAGATCAGCAAAACCACTTCATCAACATAGATCCTGTAAGTCTGATTACAAATCATTCTCACATAAAGCAACCATAACGCAGAACAGTAGTTGCTAAATGCTTTGGCAAGGGGCTGCAAGTGACATCCGGGCTATGAATTAGGAGCTGTCTCTCCATGGCAAAGCACACGCTTTGCATGCGGAAGGTCCCAGTTTTGTTTGCGAGCATCTCCAGGAATGGCTAGAGAAAGTTCCTGTCAGAAACCCAGGAGAGTGACTGCCAGTCAGTGTGAACAACATTGGGCAATACTGCTAGATAGACAAACAGTCTGATTCAGTATAAGGCAGCTGCCTATGTGTAGGGATTGGGCCCAATAGCTCTGCAGAGACACTCCCCAGAAGACATGGGAACTGTGGGGGAGCAGGAGACTGGTAAGAATATGAGGCAGGGAGCGGTCAGCCCAGTTTGGCCCTCTGGACCCATGAGAACGGACGATGCTAATGAAGAGGAGGAAGGCATGTGAATATGAGACCCAGACGTTCAGCTTCAGATGAAAAGAGAGAAGCCGTGCAGAGGTCATGCAGCACTCAGAGAGACATGCAGCCCGGGAGGCGACCCAGCAGACAGCTCTGTCTTGAGGAAGGGGCTTGGTAGCCTGCTCAGCTTGAGAAAGGCAGCTGGTTAAGACAGTGTTCGTTTTGTGACACTTCTCTTTCACAATGCTCTAAACCAGGCTCCTGAAGCTTATGAATTACTGTGTTATGCAAAGCCTGCCTGGAACTTGTGCTCCTTTTGGCTGCAAGAGGATAGCACCTGTAGCCTAAGCCAATGCTTGCTTGTTTCAGGTCTGCATAAAAAAGGCAATGGATTAGCAGTACCACTTGATTGCCTGGGAACAAAGGGAGCCAGAGGTGGGGTGCAGCGTACTGTTCCGATAATGGGAATGCTGCACTGTGGGTATAGCACACAACGGCTCAGTGCAGTTTTGCTTCTAGTCTACCCAGCCTGGAAAGCAGCCAGAAGCCCAGTGTACTATGGCAGAAGCTTGTAGAATGGCAGGATGGAGTCTACTTGTTCTTCTCCTGGCCTTGCTATCTATGTCATTTCTGTCACCTGTGCCACAGACCAACCTAGAACACCCTCCAACCTAGCCCCCCCCCCAAGATATTTTGGACTGCAACCCCATCATCCCCGACAGCCTATCCTGCCTAAGGCTGATGCGAGTTGCAGTCCAAAGCATCTGGGGATGGGGTACCAGGCTGGGAAAGGCTACCCAGAAGTATGAGCTAAAGTGGCAGGACAACCTGTTCCCTCGGCAACAGAGGCTTCATAACAGAGTCCTTGGCCAGATGGACCAGCAAGGGAGCAGTCCCCAAACTTCACTGCAAAGAAGCAGCTGCAAACCCTGACCCTTCCTGAGGAACTGTAAGGTGACCAAAGCAACATGCAGTGCATCAGAGGCACACATTAGCCATGCAGGCTCTTTCCTAAAAGGCTGCTGGCCATGAATTATTAAATGACCAAAAGACACAGCTGGATCACGTATTTCAAAGAATGCATGTGACTTCCATCCTCACTGTTACTTAGCGGTATGAAATAGCAGGCACTGCCACAACTTGCAGCTAAGCCGGGTGTTTGGTTCGCCCTTGAGTGTTTCCTATTTATCAGTGTAAATTGGGCACTGTTCTATGCCTAATTAGATTGCTTACAATATGGACAACAGAGCGCTTAGACCGAAGATGGTAGTGCCAGTTCTGCTTTAGGAGTGAGCCTACGAAACCCTGACATCATCTTTTAACGCTAAAGGACATTTCTTCAATTCCTTTACAGAAAGCATGTCTTCAATTAGTTTCCTGTGGCTCCAATCAAAGACTAGTGCTGCTAATGAAGCTGCATCACCAGCTCTGATAGGTTCCCAGTAAGGGAGATCAGAATATGATAACACTGGAATGAATATTTCTGCCTCTGCAGTTCCCCATGGGTTGTTCAGGTCTGTTGTGTCTAGCTCCCAAGTTGACATTAGCACCCCAGTGTGACTGGCTGAGCCTCGTGGGGAAAGAGGGGGAAATTGGTATCATTTCAAAAAGAAGCTGCTTCCATAAACAGGAGTGCTTCCTAAATTGGGTTATGATGAGCTAAAGGGCTGAAGGTGGAAACACATAATCAAGGACTTAAATCTGGTTGCAAAATTAACACTGTACACATAGCTTTCCCTTTTAATCTTATTAATGTCCACTTTTGAATGAACACCTGCAGTTATTTATGGATGTGTCCCCAGATTAAAAAGGGTGTAGATCCCTGTGATGTTATCATGATCAACTTGTCTTTCCAAGATGGGAACTGTGGAGAAGGGATAATACTTTTCTATGGGATGGTGGCAGTCTAATGAGGATAACACCGGTGGACAGGTGTGCCCTGTTGAGCAGGTTAGCAGAACAACCTTGGGAAAAAAGTGGATTGGAAATACTGTCAACTGTTGGGGCTTCTTTTGGTGGATTAGGGCTCTCTTTTCCTTAGCTAGTACCATATTTCTGCACTTCCAGGAAATGTCAAATTCAGAGTTCAATTCCATACGTTCAGAGCTACCAAAGAGAGACGAGCCAAACTGCTATCCTTGATGTAAAATTTTCTGCTAAAAAACACATTCATGTGTATTCCATAATACTTAACTAAGCTTGGTTGGATTGTCCATAGGAAGGTACCTTCTATGAAATCAGACAGCTTTTCCATCTAGCTTATCCTTTTGTACTGTTTCTGGCACTCCTCTGGGGAAGGAGCGGGCAGAAAGCAGATGTTCTGGATTCCAACTCCTAGAAGCCCATCAGCATGACTAAGCGATCTGCTTTCCGCCAACCCCTGCCCCAGGGTAGCCTTCCTCTATCTGGTGTTCTCCAGAAGGGTTGCACAACTCCCAGGCTTGAGCAATGTGAATTCTAGATCAACACTTCTGAAGGCTGAGGAAGCCAGTCCTAGAGTCTCAGACACAGCTCTTTCCCATCACTTGTTACCTGATCCTTTTACTATTGGGATGATAGAACATGTATGGCACGCAAACTACTGCAGTATGGTCTTTCATCTTTAATTTTACTTCCACATATCTTTCATGCAATCTGCTGTTGTTCCTCTGCTATATGAAGATTTACAGTTCCTTGGGGAAAGGGAAGCAAAAGAGAACTGGCTTTCTCCCTTACCACACCAAAACCTCAAACTGTTTCTTAATGTATTATAGAATGTTTGTCTGCGGACACTCTAGTCTTGACAAAGAAATTCTCTAGCTATGCAATGCTTGGTCCCTCTTAGGGGACTGTATACCCTGGCCATCCATGGTGTGAAAGACTTTTTAATGCTATCCAGGCCATTAAGCCTGGGAAACCAACAAGTATTGAGTCTTCCAGAACTGTCTCAGAAAATTCCAATACATATTGTTGTTACAGACAACATGCAGGCACTCTAAGACAAGAAGTATTTCTTGTTCTAAATACGGCATTAAAAAACTGAGAAGCTTCTGTGCAAACTTTTACGATCTACTCAATAGACAGTGATCACAATCATGCCCAAAGTGGCGCCGTGCAGTGTTTCTCAGCAGTTGTTACACAATTTACAGAATACAAAAAAGTAGTTAAGACAATAAGAAGCTCTAGCTAGATAACCCAGGATCAGCAAGTTTAACCAATGCAAATAGCCTACAAACTACCATAGATGCATCATAACAGTTACAGCACATGCATGCTTATGGCATATAGCTAAGTTTTCAGTGCACTGCTCTTAAACTGGACACATGGGTGCAAATTCACTTTGCCTGGTACAGGAGCAAATCCTAGGAGCTGTGGCTATCGCTAGCACTGATGCCACTTTTCTGGCATGAGAAATGGATGCTGTAAGCAGACGTCTTCTCCCTGTTATTTACGGTAAACAGCTTCTGATTTCAGTTTGAGTCAGCCAGCGATGTAGACTAAGCATGCATGGAATAAATGAAGTGTCTTGAAATGTGATTTATGATCTTTTCATGACAGTGGACTGCATTCTCTTCCCTTCCAGGTTGCTTTTATCAGTGAGCAGAACTTGTCAGTTATCGGTTGTTTTCAGCGTTCCTCCATGCTACACTGTTATCTTCTCTGAGATTTTTCCACCAAAAGGCACTTTTGGGTTGGCACAGACTTTTCTTCCAATGGCAAAAAGGTCCCATGCAACCATAATCCATTCAATAGGTCTCCAAGGAGCCCTGTTATTGTTTTATAAAACAACAATCCATCACAAGCAGAATCCTCTTAGGTCCAAGTCTCCATAGGCACTATGGCTTCTTTTGTACCAACAGAGGGAAGCAAATTTTCTTCATCCAGGAAACGAAAGGGGAACTGGACTAGAAATCCATGGATCTTTTTGAGTTCTTCTGCTGCTTTAGCTGGATTTTCGCAAGCAAGCTTTTGTTTGGTGATGAAATCCCGTAGCTGGACTAAGTTATTTACTTCATCACTGGGAAGGCATCGGAAAACCTAGTTCAGGGTATGATGAAGAAAAGGATGTGAGGACAAAATCCCTTTAAAGGATTTATCTACCCTAGAAACTGAACCCCTTTAAACTTCAGCCACAAAGCTGGGATGTTTATTTCCTTTTATATCTTTCAGGGACAAAGACTAGAAAGTGTTAATTAATACTTCACCTTATCAAAAATAGTAGCATTGCGTGCAGCTGTTGCAACCCAGACTTCCTTGAAGAATCTGTCACAAACAGGATCTAGGATATCATTAAGATCTAATGAACTGCCTAGGACAACTCTGAGGATGGGAGAAAGACCAAGAAAAACAAGAGGATAAATTATGCAACGTTAAGAGATCTCACACAATTATTCTTAGAGTCAGGGATAGGAAATATTAAAGGTATTAAGAAAACATCCAGGTATTTCTCTAAAAAAAAAAACCAGAGGTAGAGGCTGGTTACCACCCCAAGGCTTGGCTGCTTTCTTCCACTATCTTATCACCTTACAGATGGATTACACATGGAGTATGGATTACAGAAAGGCAGCAATGTAGGAGAAAACAGGCCCCAGTTGCACTGACTTTGTCACTGGAGGCTATGATGGCATGAAGTGTCCCCCAGCATCAGCTGATGGTCCAGCTATACCCCTATCTGGTCAGGGATAGCCTGATTTCAGGAATCTCTGCTCTGGTAATCTCTAAATTAGATTTCTGTGATGCACTCTGCATAGGATTGTCTTTGGAGATGGTTCCGAAGCTGTGGCTTGGGCAAAAAGCAGCAGACAGATCAATAACTGGGACCAGATGGCCTGAACACATAAGACCGATTCGGGCCCACTTGCAGTGGCTTCCTATGTGCTTCCAAGCCCAATTCAAGGTGCTGGTTTAACCTACACAGCCCCACACAGCTTGGGACTAAAATACTTAGTGGAAAACGTCTCCCGAGCTCAGTCTGCACAGACACTAGATCTGCAACTGAGGTCTTCTTCTGACTGCCACCTCTAAGGGAGGTCCACAAAGAGGCATCAAGGAGGGAGAGCTTTTCAGTGATGACCCCTAATTCTGAAATTATCTCCCCATTGAGGCCCACCTAGCACCAATATCGCCATCAGTTTGGTATCAGGTTAAAACTGCCCCCTCTACTCCCAGGCTTTTACTGGCATGTGATGGGATATGTCACCTGTTTTAATAGACTTAGTTTTTATTGAAACGGCTTTGATTTTTAAACTCGTTTAAATTTCTGTATATTAGAATTATTAGCATTTTACACTGTTTTATTATATCTGCATTTTAATGTATCCATTTAAAAACATATTTATTCATTTTGCCCAAATCTATATTGTATTTTCATTGCATTTCCATTATTGTTGTACATTTATAAATTGTTAGGACCTGCCACAAATATAATAATAATAATAATAATAATAATAATAATAATAATAATAATA